CGTCGCGCGTCTCGGGGGCTTTCTGCTCACGCGTAAGAGCCCCAGCTTTGACCCGACCGTGGATGCTACCACCCCCCTTAGTTTTCAGGTATTGTTGCCGGGTCTGGGATCGGAGGATGCCCGATTCTGATCTGCGCGCGGTATGGATGGCCGCTCATTCCCGCCTCGATTTGCGGTGCCACGGGAATCGTGTCCAGGGCCCGATGGGTGCGGTGTGGTTGTCTCTGTGCAGAATTGCGTGGAGCTTGACCTCGCGCCACCAGCTCAGGACCGACCAAGGAGAAGCCAATTCTCTGTTAACCGCCTGACCTTGGGACATCAAGTTGAGGCTGCGTGAAGGTATCGGGCGGGCTCAGGTTCGCCATTCCCAGACGAAATTCTTGAACATGCTAAGCGGCTGAAGGACAAGGCGGCGGGTGTCCCTCCCGACGTCGGCACTCTGGAGTTGGCGTATGGTGTTCCTCTCTCTTTTCCCTCTGCAGACACTCCCGATGGCGCGCAGTGGGATCGTCTACGCTGCCGCCATCGAAGCGCGACCAGGGGCACTCAAGGACCCCGAAGCAACCCTGAAGGCCGTCGAACGCCGTGGCCTGCCCGGCGCTCCTCCCGTCGCCGAGTGCTACGCGGTGCTCCAGAGGTGGAAGTTCGAGTCGACTCGTCTTCAGAGGTTGGGCGCCACGGCCCCCGACCCCACCATGCAGCTTTTCACGCTCAGGAAGCTGGCTGGAAAGATCTGCGAGCGCGACCGCAGCTTCGAGCACCGGCTCTTCAGCTTCGAGATGTCGCGCGGCATCTCGGGTGCCAGCTCGTGCAGCCAGGCGGCCGTCGACGATTGTCGGCGCTACCTGGCGGCCGAGGCGCGGGTGAACAGCGGGGAAGAGTCGATTGCCAATCCAAAGTGGCAGCCATCGAGCAGTAGCCCCGCCACCATGCGCAGCGCCCCCAGCAGCGCGCCAACACCAGACCCGACCCCAACGCCAAAACAAAGGCCAAGACGAAGGCAACATCGAAACCAGAGACTAAGGGGAAGGGCCAGAACGGCGAGCCTGGGCAGAGGCCCTGCCGATTCTTTGAATCTGAGGGCGGCTGCCGCAACGGCGCCCAGTGCACTGGCTTCCATTGGGGGCCAGAGAAGTCCGAGGCGAAGTGCTTCAATTGCGGCGCCACCGATCACAAGTTTGACAGCAGCTCGCGGCCGCGCGCTGATCCTGCCGCACGCGCCGCCCGCGCAGGCGCGGCTGGAGATCAGCCGCGACCGCCGCGGGGGCATATGGACCACCCACCGCCGCCAGTGGGCAGCCAGCTGGGCAGCCAGCCAGCGCTTCCGCATTGCCCAAGGCCCCAGAGGCATTTGCGGCGGCTCTCAAGCAGGTCGAGGCCCGCGGCCGTTCCGAGGGAGGGCAGTTGATGCCCCGCTCGCTCGCGACTTCGGGCAGCGGCGCGGGCGCGAGCGCCAGGCTCGCAGGCGGCGCCGACGGCGAGGCTTTCTGGGCGCCCGCGCCGGGCCTCCCGCCACCGCAGGCGAAGATGGCGCTCCGGGCTGGCGACTTCGAGGCGCTGGAGCGCGCGGCGGCTGCGGCGGCGGGCGATCCGACGCTGTTGCGCGACGCGCTCGGCCGTCCGCTTCTTCTGGCAGACGCGGGGGCCAGCCGTGAATTGGCGTCGCACGGCCGCGTGGCAGGAGAGCCAGCCACGCCACCAGTCGCCACTACAAGCGTGGATCTCCAGTCTGCGACTGGCGGCGGAGAGGCGTAGTTCGGCGTGGGCGAGAAGCTGCGCGTCTACTCGCCTACCGAGCTGCAACCATCTTTCCGCTCGCGGCGGTGAACGAGGAGCTCGGCCCCCAGATGAGTTGGGGCCCGTCGGCTTGCGAGGCGAAGCTACTCGATGGGAGGGCGATCGGCTTCGTCAGGGACGGCGGTTCCATCTACCTGGGCGAGGACAGCGCTGACGTGCTGAGGCAGCTGCGCGGACTGCCATGTGCGGGCGTCGGGCTCGCGCCACTCTGGCGCGCGCCATTGCCGCCGCGGTGAGCTCGCAGGAGCTCGAGCGTCATCGATCCCAGGGCCGCCCGCGGTGCTACGCGGAATGCGGCGAGTGCCGAGGCGCCGCAGGCCAGATGCGCTGGCGCGCGCGGCCTGACCTGACTACTCGCCCTGGCGGGCAGTTGAGCGCGGGCCTCTCGGACCCACGCCCGCCGGGGCGGTGGCCGAGCAGCTGGCGGGAGGACCAGCCGCGCCGCTCCGCGTACTCCATGGCGGCGGCGTTCAATGTGCGCACGCGCAGCGACGCGGCGACCGCGAAGGAGAGCGGGGCCTTCGCGCGCGCCGCGGCGGAACTCCAGGACCCGAGCGCCGCGGAGCTCACGGACCGCGATGCGTCGTTCCGCCCAGAGGCGGCAGGCCCCGACGCGCCCGGCACGCTCGCGCAGCGCGCTGCCATGGGCGCGCGCCTCGCCGTCGCGGCAGCCGAGGGGGCGAGTTTGCGGGAGGGGGCGGGAGCGCGCGCGGACCTGCTCGAGGAGCCGACGACGCGGCACTACGTCTGGCCGACCTCCAGGGAGACGACGGCGGCGATGGAGTCCATCGACGCCAAGGACTGCGCGGAGGTATCCTGCAAAGCGGTCTACCGCATCCATGCGGATCGAGCGGGGGAGCTCGCCGGGCCGCCCATCAAGCGCGAGATGGCCGCGCGCCGCGCGCGCCATCGCGACGGCCAGCGCGGCCGGCTCGGAGTCGACTTCGAATGGCCGAGCTGAGCGAGCCATGCCTTTTCAAAGGCAGGTCTCGCGCGATGCTGCTAGCAGATGGCGTCGCCGCGGGCGACCGGCAGGCCCAGCCGCGGTCTGCCACGCAGCTCGGCGTCAGAGGCGCGCCGCGCAGGGAAGTGCGAATGGGCAGCAGCGGCCCGTCGAGCCCCGGGCGGCTCCGAGGCGGCACTTCGGCGCAGCGCCCGACGCGACGCACGGCGCGCTGGCGGGGTGCAAGAAGGACGGCGAATGGCACTTCGAGGTCAGCTCGTCGTTCGCGGTGGGCCGGGCAGCCGCTGGCAGCGGCCTGGCAGGGCCGCCGGGCGCTGCCGCCGCCGCCGCGCATGACGAGGGCGCGCCCCCCGCGCCGCCGCTGGGGCCTCCAGCTCCGCGTGGAGGCGGCGCCGCAGGCGGAGGGGCTGGCGCAGGAGAAGCCGCGGGGGCAGACGACGGCCACGGCGCGCCCCTCGCTGCAGTGTTTCAGAGGGATCGGGAGGAGGAGGAGGAGGAGGAAGGAGGAGGAAGAGGAGGGGGAGGGGGAGGAGGGGGAGGATCAGGACCCTCTCAGATTCGAGGCCCCTCCGGGGGCGCGCTGCCCCGCCTGTCTCGGGCGCAAGCGCGCGCGCTCGAAATGGGCGCTGTCTGCGGGGGGGGCGGGCGGGGCTTCCCGGTGACGACGTTCGAGGCGTGCCTCGATCTGCTGCGCGGTCGCGCCCTGCGCGCCGTGGGCGGCGTCGGCGGCGCACCTGTGGCGAGCGGCGCCGCCTTGGAGCGGCAGCCGGCGGGCCATCAGATGGGGGTGTTGGACCTTCGGCGGCAGCCGCCGCCCTCGCATCCCCAGGGCGCCTCCAACGGCAGCAGGCCTAGCACGGGGTCGAGCCTGCCACCTTGGCGACGAGCACGTCGACGACGGCGCCGACCTCCCGGCCTTCCAAGAGATAAAGAAGGAGGCCCCGACGTCGATCGCCGAAATCCGCTCGGGGCCGAGAGGGGGGGTTGGCGACTCGCGCTCGACAGCGAGCTTTCCAGCCCGCGCGCCACGGAGGCGCCCGAGGTCCTGGGCGAGGTGGGGGCGGCGAGGGGCCCGAAGAGCAAGATCATCCCCATGAAGGTCGTTGCTGGGACTGAACTTCCAGCGGCCGCGGAGCTGGAGCGCCGCGAGAGGGCGCGCGCCTGCGCGCGCGGGAACTGCCGGGAGCGGAAGGCGAACGACGACGTTTACAGCGGGGCATTGATGCTTCGAGCCTCCGCTTGGTGCTCGCGGTCGCCGCAGCCGAAAGGTGGAGTTGTTCCGCTCTGGGCGTCGCCGCCGCTTTCCTAAATGCGCCGCTGCCGGAGGAGGTGGGCGACGTCGCAGTTCGACCTCCGGCGATCTTCCGCCAGTTTGGCTTGATCCGCCCAGGGGAGCTTTAAATGGCGCATGCGGCAGGCTAATGACGGCCTCCGCGCCGCGCCGAAGGCTCAGGGCGACGAGAGGGGCCGCCAGACGAGGGGGGTGAGCGTGAACTTCCTGGTCGAAAGCGCGCGCGCTGAAGCAGTCGCATGACCCTTGTATGTGGTCCGTCGTCAGCCAGTCTGGCAAGGCGATGGGGTGCGCATGCGTCTAGGTCGACGACTTCGCCCTCTTCGGCCGGATGCGGTTGCGGCGGAGCTCTGGCGCGTGATGTCGGAGACGTGGAGATGCGGCGTTCGATGGCTGATTTCATGCAGCGCCCCAGGCGCCGTCGAGCACTGAACTGTCCCTCGCCATCGAGGCTCGGCCTGACAGGCGCTGCTTTCGCCGGCGCGGGCGCGCGAAAGACTTCCTCGACAAGTGTGGACTGGGCCGCGGGAACTCGGCCGGCACGATCGCCATCGAGCCATTGCCGGCCAGCGAGCTTGGGATGCAGGACCAGGGGGGGCCTGAGATCGCGGATGTCCGGCCGTTGCGCAGAAAATGTCAGTCGGGCTGCTTTGGCTGTCGGGCTGGGCCCGGCCAGACATCGCGCGCGCTGCGTCGCGCGTCGCGCCCACTGCAGCTGCCCATCCCCACTGGGCCCTTCGCCTCGGAAAGCGCATCCTGAGGCATCTCGCTGGCGCGCGCCATTACGGCTTGAGTTTTAGGCTTGGTGGCATGGCGTCTTTACAAGTTTTCGCCGACGCGTCTTTTGAACCTGAGTTTGCGCAGACAGGCATCGCTGCCTATTTCCGCGATTGCCTGATCTTTTGACGTTCTTCGAAGCAGCCGCCACCCCCTCGCAGCGCCGCCGAGGCGGAAGTCACTGCTCTGGCAATGAGCGGGCTGTTGCTGGAGGGCGCGGAAGCCGTCTTGAACTCGATGCTCGCGCGATTAGAGGTCATCAACATGTGGGGTGACAGTTCGGCCAGCCTGTGCATTTTTTCAAAGGCAGGGATCATGGCGGACCCGCTGATTAGCTAATCGCACCGCGGCCGTTCGTGCCAGGTCGGAGGCAAAAGTCTTCTACCTTGGGCATGTGCCCTCTGATGAGCAGCGTGCCGATTGTTTTGGCGAAGACTTCCAGCGTCCCCAGAGCGAAAATCCGGGTGCATTTTGGCATCAAGGTTTTGCGACAGCCTCATGGCCATGTTGCCAGAGTCAGCCGGCTTCCCCACTCAGTATCGCCATTCGCTGAGATTTGGAATTTACAATTGATGCATGGTTTTGTACATACGTTTGATTATATCGCAGTTGTGGTCGGACTGGCCCCCCCTCCCGGGTTGCTGACCCGAGGCATCCACGCCAGGCGCCGACGCTGGCCAGATGAGGAGGAGCGTGGATGAGGGGGCTTGCCGAGTCCACCCCAGAAGCCCTGCTGGGCCCAAGCGTTTTGAGCTTCGTGAATATTATTCCCGGGGGGCCTTCCCGGGGGCACGGCGGGGCCCCCTGGCGCAGGGCTGCCGCCGCGGCGAGCTTAGAGGGGAAGTGCGCCAAACTCCCTGAATGCACTAAAGGGGGGGGGGGGTCCAGAACCCCCCCCCCTTCCCTCCTTCAAGGGGGGGGGGTCCGGACCCCCCCCCCCCCCTTCCCCCCTTGGCGCTGGAAAGGGGGGGGGGGTCGGACCCCCCTCCCCCTCGTGTGGGGGGTGCGGAGTTGGGAGTAGGGAGTGGTGAGTAGTGAGTAGTGAGTTAGTGCGTAGTGAGTAGTGGGTATTGGGTAGTGAGTAGTAGTGAGTAGTGAGTATGAGTAGTGGGTAGTGAGTGGCGAGTAGGGAGTAGGGAGTAGGGAGTGGCGAGTAGTGAGTAGTGAATAGTGAGTAATTAGTGTGTAGTGATAAGTGAGTAGTGAGTGGCGAGTAGTGAGTTGTGAGTAGTGAGTAGCGAGTAGCGAGTAGTGAGTAGTGAGTAGGGAGTAGGGAGTAATGAGTACTGGGTAGTGAGTAGTTGGTAGTGACTAATGGGTGGCGAGTAGTGAGTAGTGAGTAGTGAGTTGTGGGTGGTGCGTGGTGCGTAGTGAGTAGTGAGTAGTGAGTAGTGAGTAGTGAGTAGCGAGTAGTGAGTAGTGAGTAGTGAATAGTGAGTAGTGAGTAGTGAGTACTGAGAAGTACGTAGTGCGTAGTGAGTAGTGAGTAGTGGGTAGTGGCAGTGGGTAGTGAGTAGTGATTAGCGAGTAGTGAGTAGTGAGTAGTGAGTAGAGTGTAGTCAGTAGTGAGTAGTGGGTAGTTATTAGTGAGTAGCGAGCAAGGAGTAGCGAGTAGTGAGTAGTGAGTAGTGAGTGTTGAGTGTTGAGTAGGGAGTAGGGAGTAGTGAGCAGTGAGTAGTAAGAAGTGGGTAGCGAATAGTGGGTAGTGAGTAGCTATTGGTGAGTAGTGGGTAGTGACTAGTGACTAGTGACTAGTGAGTTGTGACTAGTGACTAGAGACTATGTAGTGACTAGTGAGTAGGGAGTAGTAAATAGTGAGTAGTGAATAGTGAGTAGCGGGGAGTAAGTAGTGAGTATTGAGTAGCGAGTATGGGAGTAGCGAGTATCAAGTACTGAGTACTGTGTAGTCAGTACTGTGTAGGGAGTAGGGGGTAGCGAGTAGCGAGTAGCGAGTAGTGGGTAGTGAGTAGTGATTTGTGGGAAATGAGTAGTTAGTAGTGAGTAGTGAGTAGCGGATAGTGGGTAGTGGGTAATGAGTAGTGATTATTGAGTAGTGAATAGGGAGTAGTGAGTAGTGCTTAGTGAGTAGTATGTATTGAGTAGTGGGTAGCGAGGAGTGAGTGGTGAGTAGGGAGGAAGGAGTAGTGAGTAGGGGGTAGTGAGTAGCGAGTAGTGGGTGGTGGGTAGTGAGTAGTGGATAGTGAGTAGTGAGTCGTGAGTAGCGAATAGCGAGTAGTGAGTAGGGGGTAGTGAGTAGGGGGCTGGGGTTAGTGGTTAGGGGGTAGGGGGCCCCTCGTGACTCCCTTTGGGGCTGGGGTTAGTGGTTAGGGTTCGGATTCGGGGTTTGGGTTCGGGTGGGGACTAGGGGTACGGGTGGCGGGGGTCGGGTTCCGGCGTCAGGGGGCGGCGTGTCGAAAGGGGGGGAGGGGGTGGGGGGTTGGGGGGGGAGGGGTTCCCCGACGACGGGTCGTGGAAAGGAGGGGAGGGGGGGGGGGGGTCCCCGACGACGGATCGGGGAAGGGGGGGAGGGGGGGGGGGTGCCCAACGACGGATCGGGGAAAGGGGGGGGGCCCTAACCCCCCCCCCTTGGGGAGACCCAGCGGCGCACCCTCCTTGAGAGGGCAATTCTTCAGGGCGTTAGGTCGCACGCGATAATGTCCGATTCAGTCCTGCATCGCGTTATGGACTCGGCGCTGCTGCCCAGGAGGCGGTGGCAGCGCTACCTCCTGGATTAGCTCAGGCATGCAACTTTTGGGGCTCAGTTTTAACCCCGATTTGAGGCTGCTCGAGGTGGAGGTGGTGGCCACGCCACCCCCGCCTGCGGACGCAAACTGTCCGTAACCTTTGGCTCAAGGCTTGGTGCGCTGTGGGAAACATGGCGCACAGGCGAGCCGTCGAGCGCGATCGAGCTCGTCTTCTCGTTCGCCTCGCCGACTCAGTCAACGCTTTCCTCAGATTCAAGCTCCGTCTACCGGTACCCTCCACCTGAGACATAGGTACATTGCCCATGCGGCCGTCAGAGGCCCGCCGGCTACTCAGGAGGCTGCCACGAGGGCAGGACAGCTCGACCGACGCGCGTTCCCCTTCCCAGGAGGAGAGTCCAGCAGTGAAGACGGAGATGCCGGAAGGTTCGCTCTTCGACGGCCCGACCGTGGTCCCCCGTGCTCCCCCCTTTTCCCCCCGTGGCCCCCCTTGTTGTTATTCCGGCCGACCGACCGCGCCCCCCCCCCTGCGCGACCGTGCCCCCCCGTGCCCCTCCCATTCCCTCCGTGGCCCCGCCTCTCGACCGACCGTGCTTCCCCCCCCCTGGCCCGACCGTTGCCTACCGTGCCCCCTCTCCTTTCTGCGAAGTCCGACCGACCGACCGACCGACCGCGGCGCCAGACTACACCATGGCTCCGGCGATTCACAGCGACGCAGCAAGTTCTTCACGCCAAGGCTCCCCAGACAGCGAGCAAGATCTCAAAAACTTGGCACCGACACGTAGCACCCTGCAGATGCGGGTAAGAGTGATGGGGGCGGTGGGGACCTCGGCAGTTTGCAAGACTCTGGAGAAGCCCGCCGCAGGCGCCAACGTTTCGCAAATTATACACAGAGCCCGCCGCAGTCGCCGATTTGTTCGTTAAACCACTGTGGGTAGGTCGCGGGTGGGTCGCGGGTGTAGAGGGCAGAAAATCCACCCCATAAAAATTACCTCGACAAGCGAAGTTGTTTAGTAAACGCACACAAGGAATGAATCGAACAGGGCAGGGTTGTCTAGTCAACGCCCATGGCCGTTTAGTAAACGTCAATTGTCGGGTCCGGATGGTTTTTCCTCCCGTGAGGGTGGGTCGCGGGGTGGGTCGCGGGATGGGTCGCGGGGTGGGTCGTGGGTGGGTCGCGGATGGCGCGGGGTGGGTCGCGGGTGGGTCGCGGGTTGGGTCGCGGATGATTCGCAGGGAGGGTCGCGGGGTGAGTCGCGGGGTGCGTCGCGGGTGGGTCGCGGGTGGGACGACGACGAAACAACAACAACAACAACAACAACAACAACAACAACAACAACAACAACAACAACAACAACAACAACAACAACAACAACAACAACAACAATCACTTTACCCGAACGCTCAGTGTTCTCACCAGTGCCAGGGTTTTCATGCGACGCCAGCCAATACCCCCACTTTGTGGGGGGGCAGTGCAAGCTCTACCAAATATCCACACGACTCTTCGCCACCACCCACACCCAGCTTCCCGCCCTATGACGTTCGGACACTTCACTTCGTGGCCTGCGGACGACCGTGGCTACTACACTGGCGTGGAGTACACACCCACAGAAGTTGTTATTGGGTCCTCACGGCGGGCTCTTGGGGCCTCTTGAAGGCCTCCTGGGGCAACCTATGGCGCAACCAGTAGGGGGACGTTTTATTCTCGGCGGCCGAGGGCGCAACCTATGACGCAACCAATAGGGGGGCGTTTTATTCTCGGCGGCCGAGGGCGCAACATATGGCGCAACCGCAAGGGATTCTGGCCCCTGGCAGGCGCGCGAACCCCGTTGCAAGAGCGTGCGAAAGTAGCTCGCGCGAGCTCATGTAACATAAATGTTGGAAAACCATTGGTTTTTTTAGGATTCGGACAGCGCGCGCGGGTGGAAATTTTGAAAAGTCGTGCAGGTGTTTTTCGAGGACCTACGGTGCGATTCGTGTGATTTTATGATGCGCGGTGCTAAAATTCTTAAGAAAACCCAATGGTTTTTGGAGATTTCGGCGTGCGCGCGCGAAGAAAAAACGAATGTGTCCCGCATGGTATTATTTGACAGGGATGATGGCCCTGGCAGGTGCGCAACCGTTGTCGCAGAAGTTCGAAAAAGTTGCTCGCAAAAGCCCGTTTGACAGAAATGTTTAAAAAGTGTTGGGTTTCCTACGAATCCGCAAGAGCGCGCGGGATGAGATTTTGACATTTTTTTGTTGAAAAACCATTGGTTTTTTGATGTTTTTATGTTAAAATCGTTCCGAACACTAAGCTTTTGGAAGGATTTCGTCTTGCGCGCGCGAATGTCCACTTTACCTTATTTTTTGCAAGGGATTCTTGAAATTTGATTATATTAGAACAAGAAATGTCATTTTATAGTGTTTTTTGCAAGGGAAAGCGGGGGGGAACAAAACAACCGGATCTTGATCACATCGAATTACCTGAGGCTTCCTCACGAAAATGATGAAAATGTAGCTGCGGCCTAGGCGGCGCAGGGGGGCCGTGCACCAGGGGTCCCAACAATAATTATTCTTTAGAATTAATAATGTTCAACAACAACAACAACAACAACCACAACCACAACCACAACCACAACCACAACCACAACCACA